AAGAGTGACAACTGCTGCAAGAAGATGGGTCGGGAAACGAGCACCCGAAATCGCTGCAGGGTTTGATCAAGAGGCAGCGGCTTGTGTGATGGCCAGGCTTGCTATTCATCGAGCAGAGAGTCGTCATGCCCGAGATGTCATCAGATGGCTGGACGACGCATTAATCCATTTTGCTTCCAAGTTTGGAGATTACGTGCTGGAGGATCCATCTACGTTTCGCTTGTCGACCAACTTCTCCCTTTATCCCCAGTTCATGTACTACCTAAGGAGATCTCAATTTATTGATGTCTTTAATAGTACTCCAGATGAGACCTCTTTCTTTCGGCTAATGCTGAGGTTGGATCACTTATCATGATCCAGCCTACGCTTTTCCAATACTCCTTCGACGGCCCACCGGTTCCTGTCCTCCTAGATGTTCGCTCCATCTGTCCGGATGTAATCTTACTATTCGACTCATACTTCTACGTGGTTATTCATTACGGATCCAAGATTGCTCAATGGAGGAAGCTTGGCTATGATAAGGACCCGAACCACGAGAATTTAAGAAAGCTGCTGCAAGCCCCCGAGGTCGATGCAGAGCAGTTGGTTGCCGGACGAGTTCCAGCACCAAGGCTTATAAAGTGTGACCAATATAGTAGTCATGCAAGGTTCCTTTTAGCCAAGTTGAATCCTTCTGTTACCCAGAATTCGACGTACACAGACGGGTCTGATATTGTTTTCACAGATGATTTGAGTTTGCAAGTCTTTTTAGATCACTTGCAGGCCCTGGCGGTGCAGGGCTGATAAGTTGGAGCTCTGTAAATACTTTCATCTGTTTATCTATATTCTATAGTTCATACAGAGAGGAGTTTTGTGTATAGCTTCAAACGGAATAGATTGTCCTTTTGTCTGTAACAACATACGTGTTAAAGTTTGCTTTTGAGCCAGTATTCGTTTTCCTTTTCTCAGTTATCTCATCTATCCGTTTTTTTTTTTTTTTTTTTTTTTTTTTCCGGAATTTCACTACCTCAGTTTTTTCAATTGTTGGGTTCCAGTGATTACTTTTCTGTTTTTTCATACACTTAATATCGGTTCACTTAAAATGTTCTCTTAGACGTTATTTTCTCGTTCGGTTCGCTAATTTAAGTTTTTAATTCAAGTTGAGATGTGATGTTATGTGAGAGTTTTTTACTGTAGCAAAAAAGTTAAATGTGACTATTTCTGAGAGTTTTTTACTGTAGCAAAACTCGAATTCTAAACTCGAATCAGAGAAATGAACGAGACAGTTGTAAAATAACTGTGTCATGCTACTTTAGAGTTAGGATTATCATCACTAGTGGTCCTTAAATTTTAGGGTCATTTTCAATTAGTTTCTTACACTTTAAAAGTTCTCACTTTATTTCTTGAATTTTGAATTGTCTCACTTAATTATGTTGGAATTTCTGTTAAAAATAGCGAATAATACAATCACATGATTTTTCTGTTTGAATATATGTTAAAAGTAAATGGATAAAAATGACATGATAACACTTCATTTTTTTTTTGTCTTATTTTAACAACAATTCTTATAAAAACGCTTAAAAGGGACTAATCTAAAATTTAAAAGGTAAAATAAGAGTTTTTAAAGATTAAAATCAAATTGAAAATGATGTTAAAATTTAAGGACGTAAATGATAATAATTTTTAAATTTAAATAGGAAAAAATAGGGGAAAATAGTGAAAAAAGAAAAAAAAAAAAAGTGGAGGCAATCATGCTAACCAGCTTACAAGTTGTCAACACATTGACAAACCCATAATTTGGTATGTAAATAAAAGGACAAATATGTTCATTTGGGATTTTAATGCCACGGCTTTTTTTTTTTTTTTTTTGATAATTATGCCACGGCCTAACTTTTAGAATTAAGATTTGTTGTTTTATTTTTTTTTTTGTTTTGATGGATGTTCTTCTAATTAAATTTTGACACCTCATAAATTTTTTAAGCATGTTTAGTATTTTGTTTCTATTCATGGTTAGATTACTAAACTTTATGACATGACAAATAAACAATGGATGGATAGCTATTAAAATAGAAAAATGAGGACAATAAATATGGACTCCTAATCTTAAATCTTAAACACTACTAAAAAGTGTAGGTAGGTACTTGGCCGGCTGTTTGTGAGGTAGTCCGTCCATGCTTAGGATAGTAAATGAGATGTTTGGCCGGTTGTTTGTGAGGTAGTCCATGACTAGGGTAGTAAATAAGATATTGGATCTCTTCAAGTCAAAAACACATGATATGAAAGAAAATTGTTGGCAGAACTATATAAATGATAGGGCATTTTTATAGTCCATCCTCGTACTTTAACGTTTCTATTCGTCAGATTCTATCCACCGCCCGATGATTGATTTCAACGGCCTATATTTACAGAGGGGTATTGATGTGATATGAAATTTGTATTAGTAGTAAACCGGTTACCTACTGGCCAGTGACACGTAGTTCAAAGGCAGTTAAAAAACTCAATTTTTAATCTAAGGCCCGTTTATTTCACTGATTTGAGTTTTCAGTTTTAAGTTTCTACAGTAAAATGCTCTTAGAAAATGTCACATCTAACTTTTTTTGTTACAGTAAAAAACTCTAAAAAAATGTCACATCTCAACTTGAATTAAAAACTCAAATTCGTGAAGTGAACGAAACCCTAGTAATTCGTATTAGGTTACACTGCACTACTAATTGGGAATAAGCGGTAAAAAGTGGAAAAGTTTCTTTGACATCCACTATACATGTCAAATGGAACTTCAGATCTAAGGGTATGATTAGTACGAGGGAGGGAGAGATGGAGGGAGGAAGAGAGGTGAAGAGAGAGGGTAAATTCTTTGTTTGATTAGAAGAAGAGAAAAGAGAGGAGATATACGGAGAGAGTTTCCCTCTAAGCCCATTATTTTGAATTATTCATTGATGGAAAGATTTAACCAATCTATTCTAAATTAAAAAAAAAAATGATTTTTTTTTATTTTTTAAAAGAAATTATTAATAAATAGCAAAATAGATAATATAATAATTAAGCAAATAACTATCATCTATCCTCTCAACTCCTCATCCCTCCTACCAAATAACATAAATGACTATTATAATCATCTACACCCTTCACGTTCTCCATTCCTCTAACTCTCTTCATCTCTCTTACCAAACGGATTCTAAATAACAGGATGCACAAGCATCTGACACGCGGGGATAACTTATCGTTTGTTGTTGGATTGTAGAGGAGGCTTATATATAATAATATAACTTATCGTTTGTTGTTGGATTGTAGAGGAGGCTTATATATATATATATAACTTATCGTTTGTTGTTGGATTATAGAGGAGGCTTTTATATATATATATAATAATAGTAATAACGATTTTGGGATGTACATATTAAAAAACTATTTGATCCGTTAAATTTATGCTAGATGTAATTTGATAAAAGCTGAAAAGTTTTAGAAGATAAGCCTTTTTTTTTATAAGCCTCGTTAATGGCTAAGATTTGAACTAGATGTGCATTTTTTTTTTTTTTTTGAGTAACACTAGATATGCATTTTCAAAAAAAGTGAAACGTACTATAGCTTTATTCAAAAATTATTTTTGTGTTTTATGTGCTTGTGGATTCGTTATAGTGACAATGCATAGACAAGGACACCCTGCATGTTTCAGAAAATATGACCCGTCTTTTGTTTTGGTTGGATGCTTATAATTAAAAAAAAAGAAAAAAAAAACTAGTAATTCAAATTGACTGCTGAGGATTCCTCAATTGAATTATGAACACATATGAAATAAAAAGGTTCCCTCTAAGGAACAAATAAAGCCTCGCCATTTCTACCAGATAAAAAAATAATAATAATAATAAAGCCTTACCAAATTCATCGACATTTTCGGTAGTACACTTAACATAGAGACAACGAATTGATCCAATTAAAAAAGTTATATTAGATGCAATGACGACCATCTTAAACCAAACACACATAAAGAACGGTATACGAGCAGAATAATAATAATGAAAAAAAAAAAATTTTTTTTGCTATATATTTCTTCAGGCCTTTCACCACTTATAAAATTAGTGGGGTGATATAATTAAGATAGAAAGTGCAATAATTTACTATCGAAGGATGGAAAAGAAAAGTAGAAGAATTTTTACAATTAATAAGTTGCGGCTACTGGGAGTAAGGAATAAATTCTAAGCTAACATGTTTATTAGACGTTTGGTTCATGGATTAGAATCATTTTTTATTTACGTGTATTTTTTATAAGAAAAAATACTGTAACGAATCATGAACTATGATTTAAATCATGGTTTGAATTCTCAAATTAAACGTTCCCAGAGTAAGTTATTGTTGATTTATCAATGAAAGTATGAAATTACCATTTAAGCAAAAACACCAAGAACCAAGTTTTAGGACACAAATGGCATATTCCCTAACGATTGGTTTGGGTGGCCTTGCCCTTAGTCAGTCCGTTTGGTGGAGGAGGATTGCAAGCTGCCGTTGAATGTTCGGTCTTCTGACATAGATTGTCCTTTTAAAAGAAAAAAAAAGTTATTATTTGTAACACGTATCACTCTATAACTAAAAAAAAAAAAATTATTTGTAGGATAGTAACCATAATCCCACCCCACCCAAAACCTCCTCAACTTTTTTCCTTATGCCATTAGACGACAAATCGTATATGTTTTTGGGGTACATACGAATATACGTATATATGTATACAATTGTAGATGTTGTTGTTTGTTGAAATACGTGTATAGTTAAACACTATTTATGAGGATAGTGCAACGGTTAAGATGCCTTTTTTTTTTTTTTTTTTTTTTGGCTATGATTGATTTAAATTTTAATACTTTAAACAGCTGTGTTATGTCTAAAACCATAAAGGCGAACACTTTCTAGTTTATTAAATTAGTTTGATGACTGTTTCATTCAAACTTTGACACGTTCTTATTTGAACTACCCTTTAAATGGAAGGAAACATTATTAAAAGGAAATTTAACAACAATTTGGTAACATCAAAGTTTGACATTTTATTTGTTAATTTATTTCAACAAAAACTATCGTTAAGGACTCAAAATTCATCTATCAAAACCAATTCTTATTTTAGAACTTGAGTCAAGTGTCAACTTATTGAAACCTGATGAATAAAAATTAAAATAATACAATACATTTGTTTGAAGTCGACAAAAAAAAAAAGAAGAAAAAATTGTGTATTTTGACTCTCTTTATTAGCGAAACTGACTAGTATTAGTATATTGGTAAATAAATATATTGGAAGTTCCCCAGCACGTCAACCTCGATTAAGAAGTGTTTTTTATATTAGTACTTGCCATAACAGAATAGAGCTGACTCATTTGTCAAACTAGGTAGAACTTGAAATTTTCAAATAGAGCCTCACCTTTTCTGTTTCAAATAACATTCAACCAAACAAAGAAAAAGGAAAGGAAAGAATTTAGGTCTCGTTCATTTCACCGATTCGAGTTTTCAGTTTTAGATTTTTACAGTAAAAAATTATCAGAAAATGTCACATCTAATTTTTTTACTACAGTAAAAAATTCTTAAAAAATATCCCATATGTTCATATGTTAGACCAGCAAATCACGTTAGTATGTTCAAACTTTAGTCCATACAACTGTAAAAATTTGGCATTGAGTTGACTTTTTTATTTTTTCTGTGTGCTCTTTATTACTCACTTTTAGATTTTTTTTTTGGACGCTTGCCTCTTTTCTAGTTACTACACGCGTTTTTATTGCGCATTCAACGTGTTACATTTTTTTTTAATATAGAGATTTAAAATTTCTTTAAAAGTTTTATTTTTTAAACTTATTATTTCTTAAGGGTTTAATTTATTAAAAATTTAAAAATAAAAAAAAGAAAAGATGAAACATGAAAATGTTAAAAAGAAAAAAAAAAAAAAAAGAAAGAGTGATGCCATGTGCAAAAAGAATGAGAAATCTTCCTATAATGACACGTGTTAAAAAAGGAAAAGACTTTTGGTTTTTTTTTAATTTTTTATGCATGTAATGTAATGTAAAGATTATTTTGGTTATTGACATGAGGCAAATGTACTGTTCCATTTTCATTTTAAACGCCGTTCTTAATTCGAGCACATTATCACTAAATTAAGTTTGGACGTTTAGTTATCAAAACAAAGAGATGTTCTACAATGGAGTGTTTGCTATAAGGTCTTTAAGAGTGATCACATTACTAAGATTAAAACGAGATGGTGCATATTATATGGAGCAGCTTTTTGTGTTAAATGGCCTCGTTCATTTCACCGATTTGAGTTTTCAGTTTTAGGTTTTTATATTAAAAAGTTATCAGAAAATGTAACATCTAATTTTTTCTGCTACATTGAAAAGCTCTCAGAAAATGTCACATCTCAACTCGAATTGAAAATTCGAATCCATGAAGTGAATGAGGCCGTATCATTATTTCCATTAACAGAGTTATCATCCTGAATTTGTCAGCACGACCTGACCTATGCAGGTCAAAAGAAAAAAAGGATGAATTTGGTCGTGTCGGGTGGTCAGAATTGATAACAATGTGGATAAAAAAGAATAGGGCGGATCGGACCGACTCGTATAAGCCTATAGCCGTGTCGGGTCACGAACTATCCGACTAGAGGCTTGTGCTGGCCGACCCGACTTAGGTCATTATGCGGGCCTTGACTCAGCTTAAATTGACAACTCTATTTGATAAGTGTCAATCCGTTTTAAATCATAAAATCAAAGTTAATAATGTAACTCAAAAGCTTTAGAAATAAGACTGTAAACTTAGACCCCGTTCATTTAACCTATTTTAAAATTTGAGTTTTACTATAATAAAATTTTTTTAAAAATAATCACATTTATTAATATTTTTTATTATAATAAATAACTCTCATATAAAATTACATTTCAATTCAAACTAAAAATTTTAATCAATAAACTAAATAAACTCTTAATTTAATTATAAATTTATTATATTAAAATATAGAGTTCGAATTCCTCACTCAAAGGTCCCATTCATAAAAAGTAGCGAACCTACTCCTCTTTCGTGACAACGTCCCAATCCCCTGCCTTTCTCCTCTGAACTCCACCTCCCTCTCTCTCTCTCTCTCTCTCTCTCTCTCTCTCGTGATCTCTGCTTCTCTTCCCAAAATAAAATAATAATAATAATAAAACAAAGAAACTCCCAATTGGTGGAAGAAAGCCATTGCCAGCCAAAACAGAGCTCCAAACAAAACTATAATATAAAACTCGCGGTATGTAAACAATATACAAATTTTTCACAAATTGGCCCCTCTTAGCAATCCAATAATTGATCGATATTTAATACCAGAGAAAAAAGAAAAAAAAAATCAAATCGGAATTTGGGAATTTGGGAATTTGGGGATTTAGGGATGTGATTCTGCGGGTCGATTAGGGTTTGGCTGTGGTTCTTCTGGTGTGGATGATTATGGTTATAGATGATTCGGGACGGTTACGTGGTGCCTCTGGACTCGCAGCAGGCTCTGACGGTCGCCGTCAAGAAGAAGAACCCTCAGTCGTCCCGGAGCTGGGTCCTCGTCGACTGCTCCGGCGAGTCCACCGTCCTCGACGTCGACAAGTACGCCATTATGCACCGCGTTCAGATTCACGCTCGCGATCTCCGCATTCTCGACCCTTTGCTTTCTTATCCCTCCACGATTCTCGGTAGAGAGAAGGCCATTGTTCTCAATTTGGAGGTTCTTTCGATTTCGCGTGCTTTCTTGATTTTGTGTTTTTTTTTTTTTTGTTTTTGTGTTTTTTTGTTTTTGTTTTTTGTTTTTTGATTCGGAATTGCATTTTGCAAGTTTTGATTGTTGGTCTTTTTGTGTTTCAGCACATCAAGGCAATTATCACTGCTGATGAGGTTAGTGACTTGGTTCTCTCTGTTTTTTTTTTTTTTTTTCTTTTTTTTCCCTGTTTGTATGTTTGCTAAATTGTAGTCTGAGTTTTCCTTGGAATGAGAACCGGGGAATTATGGAATTTTGTAAATTCCCCAATTTTCAAGAAGTTAGCGTGGACAGATACATTTCTTTTTTTTTTGGTGGGTGCAGATGATGATTGTTGTTTTATAATGGGATAGGTACTCCTTCGAGACCCGTCCGACGAGAATGTGGTGCCGGTTATCGAAGAGCTTCAACGGCGATTGCCTCCGGTGAACGCCATCCGCGAAGCTCGAAGGAATGGGAGAGAGTATGCTGGTGGGAATAATGATGTGGATGCTGCTGAAGAAGATGGTATGCCATGTTGATTCAGTTTAATAAACTGAAGTGAAATATTTGTTTGGTCCGTTTGTTTCATATGTTTGAACTACAATTCAAATGGGCCAAATTTGTTTAATCAGTTAAGAGTTGGGGCCACGTTCAGTGTTGTTGATAATGTTTGTGCTTTTCTATTGTTAATATAGATTTCATTGTAAACGCTAGCGCTAGATGTTAGCGACTTCTACATGAATTTGGGTTTTGTGATGTAGAGTCTCCATTTGAATTCCGGGCGTTGGAGGTAGCTTTGGAAGCCATTTGTAGTTTTCTTGCTGCACGTACAATGGAATTGGAGACGGCTGCTTATCCTGCTTTGGACGAGCTTACCTCTAAGGTACATACTTATTCATCTTTTTGCTTGTTCCTTTCAGTTGGGACCATAGTTGTCCACTGTCTTGATCTATGGTTCAGCTTCTTATTTATTAATCTTGTATTAAATAATGTCTGCAGATTAGTAGCCGCAACTTGGATAGAGTTCGTAAATTGAAGAGTGCAATGACTAGGCTAACAGCTCGTGTTCAAAAGGTATGCTTTCTCTTTGAAGCTCTCGATATCCCATTTATTGTGACCAATTATGTTTCTATTCTCTAGTGATGATTGCTGAAAGAGTAGAATGCTTTTAACCGGCGTTCTATCCCTGACCGGAGTTTTCTGAAATATGCTATTGGATAAGTTGTATGAAAGGAACCACCCCTGAAAATTACGTCAGCACTGTAGTTAAAAGCCCAGAAAAAATACATCTTTTTTCCCATATAATGACTTTTGGTTTTATTCTTATCCAATTAGTTTTGTTTTTCAGGTGAGGGATGAGCTTGAACAACTACTGGATGATGATGACGATATGGCTGATCTTTACTTGTCAAGAAAGCTGGCAGGTGCATCTTCACCTGTTAGTGGCTCTGGTCCTGCTAATTGGTATCCCACCTCTCCTACTATAGGCTCAAAGATATCAAGAGCAAGTAGAGCGAGTATAGCAACAGTTCGTGGAGATGAAAACGATGTTGAGGAACTTGAAATGTTACTCGAGGTTGTTAGCTTGTTTTCTTCTTGGGTTTTTCTTGTTTTCTCCAAGACTTATTCTAATAGTTGTAGTAATTTTGCAGGCATACTTTATGCAAATAGATGGTACATTGAACAAATTAACCACGGTATGTGCTTTTATGGATGCACATTTGTCTCTATATGCCAACATGTGGCACGCTCATCACATGTATAAAGGATGTAGTTTTTTACTGTGAGATCGCGGACTTGACAGTCTCTGATCTATAAGATGTTTTACTTTGTCTTATACATAACTGGTTTAGGAAAGGATGGACTGATCAAGAAAAATCAACTTTAGTTGTAGGTCCTCTGACCAACTAAATGTTGAAGCTCAACAAAGTTATATTCCTTTTTTCTTGGATGTATCTGATAACCAGAAATAGCGTCTAAATTCCAATGAATAATGCTCAGAGTTGTCTAATAATCACATTGTGGTCAGTCAAAATTGTTTTTTCTGCACAAAAGATGGAAAGTTTTCACAAACTTTATGTTCTATGTCGTATTTTCTTTAATGACTAATCTGAAATTTTGCAGCTGCGAGAATACATTGATGATACGGAGGACTACATTAACATTCAGGTAAGGAACTTGGCAGACGAACTTTGAGTAACCAGGCTATAAATACATGTTTGCTGATCCAACTTGACTTTGACTTTTGCAGCTTGATAATCACCGTAATCAGCTCATTCAGGTACTCTCTTTTCTTTGCATAACACTCCTTTCTTTTTGTCAATGTGCTGGTTTCTGCCATTCACTTCCTACTTTGAATTGTGTAATATAAAAAATTGGTTCTCATAACCTCTATTTTTGTAAGTGCAGTTAGAGCTCCTCCTCAGTTCTGGAACTGTATGTTTGTCCATATATTCTCTGGTGGCGGGGATATTCGGTATGAATATCCCATATACTTGGAATGAAAACCATGGATACATGTTTAAATGGGTATGCACCATTGCAAGCTGTTTCTGCTCGTGAATTCCTCTATTAGTTTCTTGTTGCAATTGTGTTTACAATAAAAAAATCTTGTGGTATTTGCAGGTTGTCGTTTTGACAGGAGTACTTTGTGCCTTCGCGTTCGTAATAATTATTTCGTATGCTCGCTACAAGGGTTTGGTTGGATCCTGAGTTTATATTTCCGAGCATTTCCGAGCTGAAAACAACACTCAGATTGAACACCATGGACGTTCCTTCTATTTGGAGGGAAGATAATTGGGCTGCCAAACACTCAAAGCTCAACGCTCTTGCTCAATAAGTTGAGCTATTTCCGTATTTGGTGAATTTTTTTTTTCTCCCTTTTTAGCTGCTGGGTTCAAGAGTCTCAAGGCACTCTCATTCTTTTAAGTGGAATTCTATATCGGAGATGGAGTCTGGAAGCTGTTTTCATCTCAAGGAATCTGGTGGGTTTATATAAATTTGTCAAACAAAGAGTACAATGATTACTTTCAACACAGGCTGAAAAAAGTCTACACAATTATATATATTTCTTCTTTTGGTTAACTCTTCTTCTTCCAGTTACACTTTCAGTGTTTGAGTTTATTTGTTTGTTTTTTTTTTTTTTTTTTTTTTTTTTTTTTTTTTTTATTTTTTT